TACCCGCTCCGAGCCAGTAGCGTGCGGACCTGCAGAACTACAACTCCCAGGGCGCCGGGCGTGAGGCGGTGAGCCCCCGGCCTGGTCCGCACGCCGCTCGCCGTCGCTGCGGTCGCTTCCCCGGCCCGGGTGCCGCGCGTTGCGGGGAGGGGCCGGGGGCGAGGCCAGGACCCGGGAGTTAGGGGGGCGTGACGGCTGCGAAGTGCAGCCGCAGGCCGGCCGGGTCCAACGCGCTTTCTCCCCAAGTCGAAGCCAGAGTCTCGCCTCCTCCCCGCCACTTAATTCCTCTCCCACCCGCGGTGGGTCTTTCCGGAGCCTCCAGGTTACGGGAACTCCCCCCTCTGCGCGCCTGCTGCCCCCGGCGGCCTCCGGGCAAACGGTGCCGGTTCTGCCCCTTGGGGAGGTGTCCGCCGCGGTGGCCCTGCCGGCAGGCACAACCTAGGAGTTTTGGGGGGTTGGTAACATTGGCTGTTGCTGCTTGAAAATGGCACCCTCGCCCTGGCCGCCGCGCTCGGTGGTTAGAGTCGCCCGCGGACCTGGGGTCGCGGGGTGGATCCGGTCCCGGGCGCCCTGGGTGCGGGGTCCGTCCCCCGACGCTGGGGGCCGCCCGGCCGGGCGCCTCTCCCGGTCAGGCTTCTCCCTCCGCCGCCTGCCTCCCTCCCTTCCGCTCTAAACATCAACGGGAAAAAATCCTTGGGAGAGGATTAACCAAAAAAATAAATAAAGTAAAATAAAATTAAAATGTCATCTCACGGAGTGCCTTCTGTGCAGATGTGGGAAGTGCAGCCTCGGAGTGGATTACTGGTTTACCAGGATTTGCTGAGGAGGGAACAGCCCCAATTCGCTGTTTATAGGCTGCTTCTCCCGACCTTAAGTGGCGAGGCCTCGGAAAGACGTGGGCTGAGCCTTGGGCACTTCAAGTTGATCGGCCTGGGCTTCACCTAGTCCCCACTGGCCAGCTTCTCGGACACAAGGGGCGGCCCGGTCCCTGGGGACAGACTGGCCTTCAGGCTTGGGAAGAGCGGTTTCCAAGGTGCGCGGCGCTCGGGCAACGTGGGAAACGGTAGGGTTAGCCTCCCTGCTTCGGATGGGAAGCTCCCTGCTGCCGGCAGTCGGGGGTGTCTACCTAACTCGCCAGCCCTGACCTGTAGAATTTTCTGTCTATAGAATAGAAAGACCCAGGAGCGCTTCTGCTCCCATGTGACCTCTTAATAATGGATTCTGAAGGGATAAATTCCTTCTGCCCTAAGGGACAGCTCCTTTGACTCAAGCCTGGTACTAGGACAAACAAACTGAGGGATATTCAATTGTCCTATATTTCCCTAAAATTTGATTAGGAACAGGACATAAAATATATTGCTTATTTATAAAAGGTAAAATATTAAGAAGACCAAGTTTTTTCGCTCATTCTCTTTCCGGTATGGTAAGAATGTTTGACTACAGAAATGAAAAACTTGAATTGTCAGATTTTTCCCCCTGAGATTGACAAGTTAATTTGTAAGAGTTCTGTAGAAATCTGTGGAGCAGCCTTGATGTTATATGATCCCTAAAGACCTGCGTGTTGATCCACATGAAAATAAGACTTGTTTATTCTACACATTCCAACAGGTTTCATTTCTGATTCCTGAATGTGGGATACTATCAAAAGAACTGAAAAACCTGGTCATGGAAACTGGAGCCTATTACTTTGTGAAGAATTTGCCTCTTCATGAGTTAATTACACACGAATTCATCAATACTTTTGTAAAGAAAGGTAAGAAAAACTGTAGTGTCTCTGAACGTGGTAAGATGAGGAAGTACTGTGAGATCACATCACAATGCAAGGGTCCTTGTTTTACGTGCAGCCTGCGGCCACGGGCTGTGTGGTCAGGTGCCTGCATCAGTCCCCCCACCTCTCAGTATTCTCACCTTTCTCTTTCTCATGCTCTCACCAGGTGGTGGTTTCTGATGACACTTGTCCTCAAGTGTGGCATGGGGATGTTGTAACAAGGGAGTATCCCTCATCTTAAAACAAGGATTAATGAAAAGGAAAGTCTTTTGACCCATGTATTCAGATACAGTGCTGTTGGGTGTGTGGCTGCAAAGAACACTGCTCTCAGTAGTTCCCACAACAGCTGTCTCAAAAGGGTGATTTCCTGAGGCAACCACAGCAACTGTTCACAAGGCCGGGTACTTGTGGTTTGATGTCTTCTGCTTAGATTTTTATGACTCCACCCTCCTCTGCTCACCTCATTCCCATTCATAACTGCTGGGTCGATTGGTTTATTGCAGTTTCCTAGGGATCCACTTGTATGAAATGGTATTTCAGAAAGTCTTTAGAGACCCCACCCTCACTACATAAGTTACTATACTTATAAGTAAGCCACTTACTTATCTTGTAGGACCCTTGCTGGCCCTCCCCAGTGGAGCTGTGAAGAGTCTTTAGTTACTTGGAGCTCCCCTCATTCTGCTGTTCCTGGGGCTGCTGATGAAGCCAGACGCCTTGTCTTTGGTCTCATGGACATCCCTTTCCTCTGTTTTGAAGCTGGATACCACTTTGTGAAGTGTGGACACTAGCTTAGTAAGCACTGTTACATATCCTAGCCAATTTAAATCCTTGCAACAACTGTGACATAGGCCTCTGATCCCCATTTTACAAGTGAGGAAATTAAGCTGGGAGAGATTGAGTAGCTTTCTTAACTTCATATAAGTTCCTGGCACATTTGAATCTCAGGCTGGAGATTCAACCTCTGCCTCTCAGGTGTGTACACTACCTAGTATTCCACTTTGTGCGTCTCTGCCAGCATCCCCAAAGACACGCGCCCCATCCTTAGTCCATTTTCTGCTTGATGGTAGTCAGCTTGCACAGACAGGTCTTGGGCAGGGGATTAAACTAACTGTGCTTGGCCTTTCGCATCCTCCAGGTTAGCATGGGCAGGTTTTAGGTGTATTGAATCACCTGGAGCAGTAATCTGGAATATTTATTATCATGTAAAAATAATCCACTAACTTTTTGCAGCTGTGTTTTTTTTCCTTAATTTCTCCTCTGGGCTTTCTCTTACAGGTTCATGCTATGCACTATCATACAATACAAATATTGATGAAGATAATGCTGCTGCCCTGCTGCCAAATGGTAACAACACTTTAATTAATTATTTAATTAATTAAAGAATTAATTTAGTTCTTTAATTAAAGAATTTCTTCTTTAATTAAAAAAATTCGTACTGTAAAAAAAAGTCAAATCATACAGATGTGTATGAAGTGAAAGTTCCCCTTCCATCCCCCTTCTTTCAAATCCACCTTCCTTCTTAGAAGGAACTGTTGTTAACAGGTTGTGTTCATTCTTCTAGACATTTTCTGTAAATTTATAAACACACATATAGGTGCTTCTTTTTTAACATAAATTACATCATATTATTTCTCTATTTGCCTTTTTTCTAAGCTATATATCGTAGACATCTTTCCATATCAGTGCATATAGTTCTCACATACTGTGTTTAATGTCTCGAAGGTATTCCAGAAGAGGGTGCACAGTGACTTGTTCATTCCTCCTTCAGTAGGAATTTAGATAAACTTCTTATTTCACTGTTATAAATAATATCCTTGTGTGTATACTGTATAGACAGTATCCTTGTATTATAAATAAGATGTCTGTATGTATAAATAATATCCTGTATTATAAATAAAATTCTTGTATGCAATTTTTTGCACTGATATCACCTTGCTTTCTTTTAGTCATAGAACATGTCATATTTTGACATCTTTTTTATGGGACTTATTTGATTTATAGGGAAATTAATTTTATCACTGGATAAAGACACTTATGAAGAAACTGGACTTCAAGGTCGTCCATCTCACTATTCTGGCAGGAAAGTAATGAAATTTAGTAAGTATGATGCTTGCTCCATCAGTTTCTAACAAGGTAGTAATCGTCTCATGGCAATTTCAATTTAAATTGCCTCTATTCTCTTTGTTCAGAAAAAGTATGAGTTTTTCTTGGGTTTAAAACTTCGGACTCAAGGGCTCTCAGTTGGACCTCAGGGGGGATAAGATAATGCTGTTTCTCCTCGGCCACAGGCTGCATCTTATAAAGATCACAGAATTGGAGTGGTCTGTTTGGTATTTACGTTTTGGGTCAAAAATTCAAAATAATGAACTCAAGGTAAGAGTCTACAACTTGTTCTTAAAGAATTTCCTTTGAGCCCTATCCGGTGGGGCTCAGTTTGTTGAGCGTTGTGCCCTGGCATGGAGGGGTCTCCAGTTCGATTCCAGGTCAGGGCACATGCCTGGGTTTCGGGCTGGATCCCCAGTAGGGGGCGTGCAGGAGGCAGCTGACCCATGTTTCTCTCTCTCTCTCTCCCTCTCCTTTCCTCTCTCTCTAAAATCAATGCAAACATATTTCAAAAAATCAAAAGAAGCATTTCCTTTGATTTGCCCAAGTCTTTGTGGCTACTGGTAGAAATGTACTTGTGAGTGAACAGTTGTCCTTCTGCTGGCAGTATCCAGCTTGAGCATCAAAAGCAAAGGTGCCACATCCATAGGTAGGTTAGAGTTTACTCTGCCCTTGGCCTTTGACCTAGGAAAAGTATGGATTAAAAACATGTTATTAGCTCTCAATGCTAGAAATGCCTATTAAAGGCAGAGTTTTGATTTGGTAAAACAAAGAGCATGCAAAAAGAATAAAATAATTTTTACTGTCCATAAAGTTTCCCAAAATTCTGGTTTTTTAATATAATTCTTTTTCCACAGTGTAAGCTATTTATATATGAATGAAATGTTTATTTCTCTTTCCATTTTTTAAGTTATTTCCATTGATTTGATGGACTTATCCTTTAACTTGGATTCTAAGAAGTATGAAAGAATATCCTGGTCCTTCAAAGAAAAGAAGCCCCTGAAATTTGATTTTCTTTTGGCTTGGCATCATGCAGGTACGAAGAATCAATTATGAAATACTATAGTGATTTTGAAATCTAGTTGTTAATTAAAGGGGAGTCATGAAGAATTGAACGGTGATTCATCCCTATGGTCGGGGATATTATGTGCATATACATGTGAACATTATGAAGGAAGCTGCTTTGGCCCCTCTCACATCCCCAGGAACCGTAGTTCAGGATAATCTATGTGTACAGCCATCTGCCTCCTGGTTACATGTAGATCCAGAGATCTTAAGAGTAGCTGCTGAGCAGCTAACCTTTATCTGTTTCTCTCCTTCCTCCAGCTTATCTCAAACAGCTTGGCTGTAAGGTTTTAAAATAATACTACAGTTCCGATGGTGTAGTACTCTCTTTTGGAGAATAGGGAAGCACATGGGTCCATTTTGGAAATATGTCCATCTCTCTGCCCCTCATGGGACATGTCTGGTCACTGGGTGTTCCAGATTGCTTGCATGAGACTTAAATCATGATACTTCAGAGATACAAGAGGGCAGAGAGATGACTGACGTTTCAGTCACATTAAGTCTTCATCGAGGACCATCTATGCATTGGGTTCTGCATCTATGTTCCTAAGATTCCTAATTATTTTAAGGGGTTGTCAGGAACTATGCTATTTTACCCTACTTACAAACTAAGAAGTTAGCCTGCACAGTCTCACAGATGCTGGCAGAAGACATCAGTCAGAGACAAAGGACTTAATTACTCAGCAATACCAGTGGCCAGAGTATGAGCATTTTCACCAGCCCACCAACTCTCAGTTCCTACCGGGAGATGCACGGTGGGCCAGGTGATGCTGGCACATACATGCTGCAGGAAGGGAGACTGGAGCTGAAGGAACTCAAATCTTTTATACTGAGCAGTAAGCCTGCTGACCTTTGCCTGGAGGGAGGGGGGACATTATTTCCATTAGATGAAACAGCAAACAAGCCTGCCATTTGCTGGAGAGGGCCACTATGTCTTCCAAGGATATTGGGAAATCCTTGAGGATACACTGGGTTGCTGGGTTCAAAGACTAACTTGACTGTGGCTCTGTCATCATTCAGTTCCTCTTCTCTTTCTTTTATAGAGATTGTGCACATATGCTCCTTTTCTATAGAATTCATTAATTTTATTTGTACAAAAGTAATGCTTTTGGCCTTAAGTTGAAATTTTCTTACAACAGCAGATGATGAAACTAGTATGGGTTGAATCTGAAAGTATTATGCTTTTCTGGGAAAGTGTGAAAGAAAATGAATGTTTACAGAACTTTGGCACAACTTGCTGAAAGCAACTTAAATGATTTTAATTTGAATAAAGCTTTGGACGACTTCCTTCCATTTCACTTAATCCTACCTGCTTCGGTACCTCTCAGATGGGATGGGGTAGTTTTAGGGATTCATGGAACTTGTTTACAATATTCAAAAGGCCTTATATGGTTTTTTTTAAGGTGTAGAAGAATCAGCGATGATGTCATACTTTTCCAATTACGGAATTCAGGAGCATCAGCCAAAAATAGCAGTGAGCACGATGACAGATCTGCAGTGCCCGGTGCTACAGAGCAGTGAGCTGCGGGGAAAGGCGGGGGCGGCCTGCAGCGCAGGGGAGCTCCTGGACTGGCTGGGCGCCGTCTTCAGCAATGCCAAACTGTGCGTGTGAGGGCTCCTGGGTCTCTAAGGGTTCTGGCTTCTTGTTTTTGAAAGGGGCTTAATACTTTGCAAGTGATCCTGTGGTGGATATAGATGTGTTTTCTCTCTTTTTCGTGCAGAAATAATGAACCTAATAATTTCCTATCGACCTATTGCTGTCCTCAGCCGAGCACAGTGATGGCCAGAGCTTGTGTGTGTACCATCACGGGTTTCATAGTTCCAGAGAAGATATGTCTCCTGCTGGAACAGCTGTGGTATGAACACTGCCTTTTTCTGTCTTGCTTGCCAACGTGATGTTTTAGGAGCAGTGCTGCTGTTCAGGATTTCAGCGTCCTGTCTCACACATTGCCTGTTTCTTTCCTTGTTTGGGCTCATAGTGCAGCAACATCATCTTAAATGACATGATTATCCTTGGTGACAGGAAATTCTGTTGCCACATACTCATCCTAACGAAAAGACAAATAACAGAGCTTAACGCTACTTCTTGAAAACAAACTGCTCATTTTTTTTGTTCTGTTCCCCCGGGTCATTTTGGTACAGTTGAAGTTATAATGTCACTTAAGAAAATACCAATACTCTATGAAAGACATGATCTGTTTTAAGTATTGGAGTTCTGCAAAATATCTGATTTTGGGGTGCAAAAAGGGAGTTGACCATATCTGAATCCAAATCATTTCTAAGATCAGTTCCAGCTCCAACATCCTGTGAATCACTGGGCATCAATAATATGCCAAGGATTGTATAAAGTAGTATTACTTTTTTCATTTGGGGAGGTATTATATAAATAAGTGCTACATTGTATCTAATGTCAGGAAACGCAAATCCCATATTGAAAAGTCTACAAAGTAAGCTCTCAGTCTTCACCTGGAAAATGTCTAAGACTGAAGTCTTGAGGATTTTCCTTTTTAAACCCAGCATTCTTTTTCACATTGATTAGTATTTTGATTTTCTTCAATAGGAAAGCTTACTTTTTAGAATCTGATACATTATTCTGCAGTGTTTCAGTTAACAGAGACTCTGAAAACAGCACTATTAAAGTGAGGGAAACGATTCTTATGCATTTTAGGGTTTTTGTAGTTCTTTGAATCTTACATGATCTTCCACAATGGAGGTGGGAAAAGCTGAAGTTTGTTTTGTGCATTGTATATTGGTTAACCTTTACTGAATTCACAATATAGCATTGGAAATTTAACTTGCCTCTCCTGACTTTATAAATAAAGTTAAGGTCTGAGCTTCATTGGAACATCAGAAATAGCACTTTCCCTGAATAAGTTAAAAAAAAAAAGTGAGCATTCCTAATTCTTACTGTTTATTAAGAGTTATCTTTCTTTTTCAGTCGCTACTTTGATGAACCCAAGTTAGCTCCTTGGGTAACGTTGTCGGTTCAAGGCTTTGCAGACAGCCCTGTTTCATGGAGAGAAAACGAACATGGTTTTCAGAAAGGAGGAGAACATTTATACAACTTCGTGATTTTTAATAATCAGGACTATTGGCTTCAGATGGCTGTTGGAGCAAATGATGACTGTCCACCATAAAAATACAAAGTTTATAATCATGTTTGTTTATGTGTATGCTCTTCACATTTCTTAATGGTGAGAGGCCTGTGTGTTCACTCGGGCATATATGATGGTGACATATCCCAGATAAGCATCCACTAGCATCCTGCTCTGGATGTGGGGCCCGTCCTGTGACCAGCTCAGGGTTTATTTCCCTGTCAGTATAAGCACAGGTTTGAGTTACTACGTAGTAGAGTAAGTCACGGACCAGGGTTGTGGGATCATTGGGTAAGATGTGTGCTCTTACTCAGGTACGTGATTGCAACTTTCCACACTAGTAAAAAGGTTTCCCCACAGCCTACTTACCAGAGCCAGTCCCTGCTTCACGTAGTTCTCGCATCAGTCCTGCGAGGGGACAGGCAGAGCCACTGCTGTGAACCCGAGACTTGCTCTCATGGTAGCTGCTGGTGTGTTCTCGCTCCTGCCTCTGGGTCCGGATGGATATTCGAATACTGTGTATTAAAGAACAGATTTCCCAGCTGTATGGCTGATAAGGACCAGCTGAAAACAACTAAAACTTCTGGAATACATATCAAAAAACAGTATTTAAAATGTACCGATGAGCTGCAAATAAACATTTCTCAAAGACTAAATAAATAAAAAATGTTTAATGGAAATAGAAACCCAAAGATGTAATTAGGGCACTGGTGCCACTTTTCACACTTGGGATATTTGCCAAGTGTCAGGCAACTTTGCTTTTCACGGCCTGGGGCGGGGCAGGGGCAACAGCAGCAGAGGAAGCTGAGGGCCGCCCACGGTGGGAGCGCTGGGAGATGTCGGAGCCGGCACTCGGACAGCATAGACCTGCAGAGGACGAGCCGCGAATAAACTGCCTGCCTCCCCTGCCTCTCTTGTCCCCCAGGGCAGCAAGGAAGATTGTCCGAGGGGAAACTTCTCCCAAGAGGAGATGTCGAACCACAGCAGCCCTTAGCTGATTTAGCCACACAGCCTGGGTAATCTAAAACAGTCTCAGACTGGAAATTTATTTGTATTTATTTATTTCTCCACTAGAAAATAATTTTTATTGAGATCCCACCAACTGCACAATCTGTTCCTGACACTGGGCTCCTTCCTTTGCAGTTTGGGTTTTTGGTTTTTTTTAGTATGTTTTTATTGATTTCAGAGAGAGGAAGGGAGAGAGAGAGATAGAAACATCAATGATGAGAGGGTCATTGATCGGCTGCCTCCTGTAGGCCCCCCACTGGGGCCTGAGCCTGCAACCCAGGCATGTGCCCTGCCCGGGAATCGAACCGTGACTTCCTGGTTCATAAGTCGATGCTCAGCCACTGAGCCACGCTAGTCTGGCCAGTTCAGTCTTTCTTAAATGTCCCATCAATGTTCTCTTCTTTTTTTAAAAAAATGTTTTTACTGATTTTTAGAGAGAGAGGAAGGGAGAGGGAGAGGGAGAAAGAGAAACATGGATTTGAGAGCAAAACATCAGTTGGCCGCCTCCTGCATGCCCCCTACCCGGAATAGAACCAGCAACATTCAGGTGCATAGGACAGCACCCAGTCACCTGAGCCACACCAGCCAGGGCATGGATGCTTCTCCCACCATCTGGGAGCAGCCTTCGCCAAACTTAGGTGGTATCAGTGAATTTAAGATTAATCTTCTCTATGGCCCAGTGCTTGGTCTGCACCTCAGCTGGAAATTTAAAGTGATGTCACATTTTTAGTGCCTTCCAGGTGCCTGGCAGAGGCAAATAAGATTGTCTTCAGCGGAACTCAGAGGTAGTTACAAGGGTTATAAATTCATGATCAAAAATCACAAACAGGTAAAATACACAAGCAGAATTGATAGAAGCAGGCCTACAAAGACTTAAAATATTAGGGTTACCAAACAATATAAAGTATGTTGTATATTTAAAGAAATAAGGGGAGGTGTCAAAGGGCATGAGTAAAAATAAGCAGATTGGGGAAAGTATAGAATGGAAATCTGGGAATGAAAAATTGTAATAGAAAGTTTAATGGCAACAGTACACTAAACACCACTGAAAAGAAAGGGATAGGTATGAGGAAATAAAGATGTTTCAGACTTGCAAAAGCAGAAAGACTATCACCAGGAGACAAGGTATAACAAGAAGAGTTAAAGGACACTCTTCAGGCAGAAGGAAACTGATACCAGAGGGAAATCTAGACCTACACACAGGGATGAAGAGCACTGGGAAGAGTAGCATATAATATGGGTAAATGCGTGATTTATTCTTATTCAAGCCTAAGAGATCATTGGTTAAGCAGCCGTAATAATATATTGTGGACTTCACAGTACATGTAAAAGTAAAGTGGGTGACAGTAATAGCTTGAAGACCAGAAGGGCAGGCGTATGCTATCAGCTTACTGTTGCACATTTTGTGTACTGCACGAGAAATTGTATACTATCATTGAAGAGAAAAGGCCAAAGGATATTCTGCCTTCATGAAATGTACTTTTTTTTTTTAATGTTTTTTATTGATTTCAGGGAGAAGAAGGGAGAGGGAGAGAGGGATGGAAACATTGATGATGAGAGACAGACACTGATCAGCTGCCTCCTCACGCCCCCCATGGGGGGCCTGCAACCTAGGCATGTGCCCTGACTGGGAATCAAACTGTGACCACCTCCAGGTTCATGGGTCGACACTCGACCACTGAGCAACAACAGCCTGGTGAAATGTACTTTAAAGATACAAATAACTTGCCCTGGCAAAGGGGAGGAAATGGGGACATTTGTCGTAGTTTCAACAATAAAAATAAAGAAAAAAAATTTTTAAACCACATTTTTTACACTAAAAAATAAGAGAAACTAGACAAGAACACATTAAATCTAAAGTATGGGGGGGGGGAGGGGAATATCAAAGTGGCAATCAATGAAATAAAAGGCAAAAACAATAGAGAAAAATCAATGAATCCAAAAGCTTGTTCTCTGGGAAAATTAATAAAATCAATAAATCTTTAGCCAGATTGGTGAAAGAAGAGAAATTACCAATATAAGGAATGAGAGAGGTAACATCACTAAATATCCTACAGATACTAAAAGGAATAGTGCCTGGTCAGTGTGGCTCTGTGGTTAGAGCGTCGGCCGGCACACCAAAGGGTCACGGGTTTGATTCAGTCACAGGTTTGATTCCTGGTCAAGAGTATGTACCTGGGTTGCAGGTTTGATCCCAGCTGATAAGGGCATGTGCAGGAGGCAACAAATTGATGTGTCTCTCTCATCAGTGTTTCTCTCCCTCCCTTCCCCCCCCTTCACTCTCCTCTAAAAAAACAACAACAAAACAATGGAAAAATATCCTTGGGTGAGGATTTTTTTAAAAAGGGAATAGTATGGGAATATTAGCAATACCTTCATGTCAATAAAGTCAAAAACAAAAATGAAATTGGCCAGTTTCTTGAAAGATGCAAATTGCCAGAGCTCACTCAAGAAGAAACAGACAAAGCCTTCCTATAACAAAAGTCCATATCCAGATGGCTACAGTGGTGAGTTTTACCAAACACTTAAGAAATAATACCAGGTCTGCACAAACTCTTCCAAAAACTCAAGGAGGCCTGCAGAACAACTTGCCCAAGTTTTACTGTGACTACTAGATAGTTACCTCACCCATGACTCTCCGTCTGTGAGAAAGACACACTGCAGTGGTAGGAAACACAAAGAGAATGTGAAGGATCACTGTCAGAAATGGAGGGAAGAGCAGGCTCAGAGCCTGACTGACAGAACCACCTCAGCATTTCAGCAAAGAAAGATACCTCCTCCATTCTCAGCTCTTCTTCCTGCAGAGGACAACGATCCCACCTCTCCCCCCACCCCATCTTTTGGATCCTCACTCTGTGATAATGCCAGCGCCCCATATAGGGGGCTTGCCCATGATGCCAATGAGGGGTTCTCCTCCACCTGGGATGATACCAGTGGGACTTGGTTCTCAGCATGGACCTCCTGCTCACCTTTCCTACAACTCTGAACAAATGCTTAGTGCTCCTGGAAGGAGGCCACCTGTGGGAGGGCACATGCCAATGGTGCCTGGGCCCCCAATGATGAGACATACCCCCTCCCATGATGGTGTCCATCAGCCAGGAATGACTTGACCAGACAGATAAAGAGAGAGAGGACCCACTTTCTTATCAATTTCATATGACTTGTTTTACCTCACGAGAGACAGTGGTGCTGTGACTCTGGGTGTTTTCGAACAGCATGGCAAGGAGAATCACTCCCTCTTCCTGTCAAAGAGAATAGTTTTGGAAAGATGTCAGCAGACTGAGTGGAAGCTACACTGAAACTCTCCCAGGACCAAACTGGAATTACAACTAAAATATAGAAAAATCATCCTGAATAATCAACTGCAACTGAAGATGAGCTGGAGAGCACCCTCATAACCAAGGAGGAAAAGTGGAGACCACATAGAGACGGGTAGGAAATGCAGAGGCTCAGAGAGGGCTGGCTGGGCTCCCACAGGCAGCAGCTGAAGGTCTGGTGGGATCGCTCAGCTGTGGGGGTTCCCACTGAGGACTCTGGGGCCTAAATCCCAGGCTGGGCTTCCCAGCCACGAGCACTAGAATTGAGAAAGATGCTCACATAACATCTGGCCTTGAAAAGCAGCCGGGTTTCTGGGAAAGATGGCCGGAAATGCAAACACACTCTTAAAGAGCCAATGCACAAAGTTTCACGTAGAGCCACTCACCTTGGGCTCCAGCAGAGGGAGGGCAGAGTGGACTGGAGCTGTGTGAGGAGAATCTGGGGTTGTGGGCTCTGGAGATAGAGCTCAGAGGGCACCCCTCTGGATTCCTGTGTAGGGCCATTCCCCCACACTGCAGAGGACATCTTTCACAAAGAGCTGTACCCCATGGAGTTTCTACAGCCTGAGGCTCATTAAGAGACTGATAACAGCCTGGCCAGCCATGGTTCAGTGGTTGAGCATTGACCTAAGATCCAGGAGATTGTGGTTCGGTTCCTGGTCAGGGCACATGCCCGGGTTGCAGACTCAATCCCCAGTCGGGGCATGCAGGAGGCAGCCAATTGATAATGACTCTCCCA